AATTAATAAAAAATTTTAATTAAAAAGTAATTTACAATTTATTCCTAAGTATTGATATTAAAAATATAATTATTAAAACAATATTGAAGTCTATATGAAGAATAACAATTTTCATTATTAACTTACAAGTAATTTATTTGTAAAAAAAATAGACTTGCATTAGAAGTAAAAAAATTTTATATAGTCGAAAAGATATAAAATTTTAAAAATTTTAAAGAAAATTTTATAATAAAAATTTCAAAACAAAAACTTTAAATTTTTATTACTCAAAAATTTTTTAATAAGTTTAAAAAATTTTCTTAACAAAATTAATAAAATACATCTCAAAATATATTTTTTATTTAGAAATTATACTGCTAAAATTAATATTTAAAAATTTTGTTTTAAACATATTATTTTTAAAAAAATTTCAGGGCAAATTTGCAGGAGAAACGGTTTAAGAGATAGTAATAACTTCTCAAACCCGATAAAATCAACTTATTACTAAGCTAATTTTTTTAAACGGACGAAAATTAGATCTTATTTTTGACTATGGGGTCCTACAGCTCTAATCAAACCTTCTATATAGTTTTTTTTACTTTATTATGGTTGGTTTTCGTTCTTTTAAAAAGTACTCTAAACTGTATAAATATTGTAAAATTAAATTGAATTTATTAGCCAATCAGACAAACTTCTGCCTATGAATTCTGGACACGGTTAAAATATTAGTGATATAAATACTAATGAATAATTATCACTTAAATACGATATTTTTAATGATAAATATTAATTACAATATCGATATGATTTCTATAATCATATGCCAAAATATTAAATACGAATAGAAATATTTTTTTTAATGGTAAGTGTTAATATCAATTCAGGGTTATTTTAACAAAGGTATTTCTTTCTGATTGAATTGATCGATCATCAAATAATTGTTCAAGTTTCTTAATAAAATTCATAATTTTGTCTCCTCTTTCGGAATTATTAATTGTTGTAGCACACCTTTTCATAATATCTATGTTTTCTTGAAATTCATTGACAAAATTAAAGCGAGCGCAAAGTTTTCTGAGCTTTTGGCGGTTCTCATCTATAAGGTTGCAAGAGTTATCTACTTTAGAATCCAGTTCATGCAATTCCTTTTCATGAACAATGATATCAGAACTATGCTTTTGATAATCTTGAATGGCCTCTTTGAACTGATTTTTATTTATTACCAAAGATTCGGCAGTTTCAGGAGGTAGCTCAGTTTTCAGCTCTTGGTTCCACTGAAAATGTCTAGTCATTTAAACAAATAACATAAATTAAACCATTTTGACTAATTTAACTAGACAAATTAAACATTACCTTTCATATCCACAACCGCACTCCTTACAAGAATTTCCCAACATGCAGAAGCATTTCTGAAGGTCATTTGTGTTTTTATCCTCATATTCAACTCCACAATTTTTATGACAAATAATTCCTTTATCCATATGATTAGAACAGTAAGTATTTTTATAATCAACTTCAACAAACTTTTTCGTATAAATAACGTCATTTTCTATATAATATATAAATTTCTTTTTTATATTAGAAGCATTTTCCCTTTTCTCAAGACTTTCGTCTAATTTATTTTGAACTTTTTGGATGATGTCAATATTTCGAGAAAGTTTGTCGATTTCTATTTTCATGCTGTTTTTAATAACTTGTATCTCTTTGAAATTAGTGGTTGGAATAGAAGGCATGGTTTTGATGGTATTAAGGAGTTTTTCTATTGAATTATTTGATTTCTTCCAATCACGTTCAGTATCTGATAATGCTTCAGGATCTTCCAAAGTTTGAGGATCAGAACAAAATGCACTATTATCCATATGAATTTCTTCCTAGAAAAGGAAAAGAAATTATAATTCGTATTTTGATTGCACATAACGAACATATATAAAGATGTATACCTTCGGTTTAGCAAAAAACTTATCTCGCTTAAGAGAGGCACTATTTTTTCTACACTTTGTCAAGATCAGTAAAAGATTATCATTAATAAGGGTATCAGGAAGATTATTTGACAATTGAGTTAAAGCATTTTTCATTGCAGATGTAAATCTTGTTTCGGTCCCATTAGCAACTATTGCAATAGCAGACAAACGCTCGACATCAAGGACTATGTTAATTATTTTTTCAATGTTTTTTTCATCTTGTTTAACGCCATCAACATCGCTTAACCCAGGAGTGTCGATGAAAGTGAATTTATCATTATGGTTTTTTGAGTCTATGAAGCTATAAGCTTGGCATTCTCTTGTTTTGCTTTGGCTTTCGTCACCAATATCTTTTTCCGAATGCGTGAATTCTAAAAATTATTCTTAATCAGAAATTTTATTATATTATATCGAAAAAAAATAGATTACATCTATACCATTTTCAGTGACATCTAGGTATTCTGTTGGTATTGCAATTTTAAGGTTTTGTGGATCTCCTCCTTTGAAGTAATTAGTCAATTGATTTATAAGTGTAGACTTCCCTGCTCCTGTCATACCTAATAATAGAATTTTGAATTCATTCTTTTGTGTGGATTCCATTTTTCTAACACAGGAAAACGAGGGTCTGAATTAGTTTCTTTTGATTTAAGTCTATGCTAGTATCAACATGTATGCAACATATATAAAAAAAATATCTTATAATGAAATAGATAGCCAATAATAGAGATGGGTATACTAAATGTACTTACCACTACTGGATATGATAATCACGTTAATGACGGTAACAGGAATTACTGTACATACAATAGCATTTATAACGCACATCTGTTCATGACGTTAGATATTCATTAATCATAATTTGTATGTGATTATTTTTGTACAGTGAATTTAAACCCAATTTCTCTATATAGAAATACAGTAATTCATAAATTGGTAGCACATTGGGAAAAAATTTTTAAATTATAAAAATCTTAATAAAGAGATCTAGAATTCTCAATTTCTTTGTGTAGGAATAATACGTCAAGAATAGTAGTAACTATTCTACGCATACTGCCGAAACTTAAAATAATCCGTTACTGAATTTAGCTTATCTCCATTGTGTTAGTTGATCTACTTGCTCTAATAATAATTGACAAAATGGCATCGATGTTAGTTTTATAAAATAAATTGATAATAAAAAAGTAAACAGAATGGATCATGAATAAATTAGTCAAAATTGACTAAATTAAAAAGATATGTCGATATGTATTATACAATGACTGAATAAATTAGGCAAAATCAATGGCCCATTACATAATTTGTACTGCACAGAGAGAATGGTTAACGTTACACGAGATGCAAAACGTATCAGCCTGAAAAGGAAACAAAATTAGAATTCGTATTCGGAATCTGCTCCGATTAGTAAAGCCACGTATCAATCAGATATCTTCTAACAGTATCTATGAAACCGCCTTCTGCGCACTAACAAAAAAGATCCCCCGTAAAATTTTGATACAAGACAAGCCTCTTCGGTCATAGCTCTAACCTAATGTAAGTCTATATTACTTTAAAAATTCGATTATTTTAATTAGTATCGGTATAGATCATCTTATTAGTGCATATTGTCGATCTTTCATGGTCCCACTGGGGCAGCTATTTTTATTTATTTCCTGTATTATAAACATATCCTATACTGTAACCGGTTACAGTCTACATCCTTGTTCAACTAACATGAAACAATGTAAGCCAATGAGCCATTCAATTTTCCTATTTTAGTTAGATCAAAGATTTATTTTAATATTAAGGTTTGTCATTAATGTTAAAGTGAGGGACTCTATTTTATGTAAAGAGACACGTTATTTTGTATTAGTCATTTGATTTTGACTTATCAACAAATCTTATAGATAACAACAAAGATTTTTTACTTCAGTTTTATAACTGTTCATGGACACTTTGGAACTTTTAATTTCTTTGGACAATTGTATCACGGCTATTTTTATGTGGTATGTAATAAAAAATTGTCTTTATGTTGCTTTAAATAAGTGTAATACCCACGGAATTCAAAAGAAAAGCTTCTTTATTTTTTTTATATTAAATAATTTTTTTAATATGCGAGAATAACAATTGTTCAAAGAATGCTTTTTGAGAACCTTAGAATCTGTTTAAATTTCCAACATAAAATGAAATTTAAATAGTATGACATTATTAGATTGTATGCTACTAAAATTATATTATTTTAAAAATATTATGCTCAAAAATCAATAAAAGGATTACTCTAAATCAATGAATTATAAACTAATAATAATTATCTTTTGAATTTTTTTGTCAAGTATTTATTTCCCATAAATGGATAAGGAAGTTGATGAATTTGATTCGAAAAGAGACATTAAATATGGGGAATGTATCAAATGTAAACGATACAACACTTCGGAAGCGTGGTGTCAGTTGTGTGATCCGGAGTTAGCGACTAAAGGGTGGGTAAGTGACAATGATGACATTGACAAATGCATCAGAGAATTTCAACTTGAATCTACAACGTATCAGGACGTGATTGAATGGATTCCATATAGTGATCTGGAAAAAGTTAAAAACATTAATGAAGATGATGAATCATATCCATTGTTTATTGCAAATTGGAAGAAAGGAATACGAAAAGTTACGCACCATAATGTTAAAGGGTATACACAGGCACGCTCAAAAAAATATAAAATTAACCTTAAGAAGTTATCTGGTGCAGAAATAAGCATTTTGGATTTTATAAAAGAAGTACGTGCATTAGTTATTTCTATTAAATATATGCAAGAAATCGGTACAGTATTACTACTATAGTAAATTTTTTGGACATGACATATGAATTTACCATTTTGCCAGGTTCAGAGATCATCTAAAGCAACATAAAATACTAGCTTTAGACGATCACAACCATAAATTCAATCTTTGGTGATAAATTCCAACTCAAATTCTGGCTTTATTGGAGTCACTCACATGCTGTTTTATCCGACCCTATAATCCCAACAGAACAGGCCAATTTGTTGGGATTTCAGAGAAACTCACAGCATATAAACTTTTATACAAATGCTGGTCTTATCCTCCCTTTTAATTTGATTGTATTTTGCTAAATGAACCTCTTCTTGCATTAATAAGATTGTATAAGTCTTTTCGGTTTTAATTGTATTAAATTGTGAGCGATGGTGTTTAAAATTTTTCTTATACCGTATAAGCTCATAATAACGAGCATCTGCACGTTATTACGGGACCCAGCGCATTATTTCGAGACCATGCACGTTATTTGCGCATGTGCGATAATTGAATTATTATATTAATTTTTGGGACATACCTTTTTCGTGATTTCACTCTGATACATACAGTATGTGGGCGGGCTATGTTGCGACGCATATGTGCGTTATTTTGAATCTTATACGCTTTTTTTAAAAAAAGCGAAAATTTTAAAATAACGCTCATGTGCGTTATTACGTGGTATTTCTTTGATGGTCTTAAAATATAGATAACAGCGTGATTGATAATGGAACCATTGACTATTACTCAACTAAATTATTGAACTAATCTATTTGTTAGTAAAATCTATAAAATGGGATAAATCCAGTATGTTTATGTTGTACATCAAATTAAAAGTTGTGTCAGGTCAAAATAATTATATCTACCCTTACTCTAACATAGGACTAAAAAAACAATATATAAATTTTGATCTGACGCGAATTTTATGAAGTTTGAAAGTGACAGATTCAAAAAATTTACTATAGTAGACTGCATCTATCATTCGTGGATTATAATTTATCTATATAGTAATATAATGATTTACAAAAATTTCTATTTTATTTTAAGTTTAAAGATCAAATACGATTAATGCAATTAGAAAACTGTAAATTTAAGATATATGGCATAACCTGTAATAATGAGAATGAATATATGATTGTGTGGGATGAATTTGCAAATGAAAGGAATCATGACAATGGAAAATGTGAGTGTTGTAAACGATTTAACACCTCTCCATCTTGGTGTCAGACATGTGATCCTATTAAAATAGGCCAAGAGGAAACAAGTGAAGATAAATGGACGAGTGGATACACAGATATAGATAAATGTTTAAAAGAATTTCGACTTAAAACCACAGAGTACGAGAAGATAATTGAATGGATTCCCTTTGATAAACTAATCAATATGCAAAAGATAGGAGAAAAGAATTCCGAATCAGTATACGTAGCAACTTGGGTGGATGGAATAAGAATAGTTGAGAAAGAAAAAGATGATAATGGTGAGTATACACGATCACGCATACAACCGTATACAGTCAACCTCAAGAAATTTCCGACAAATACTTTAGATTTTATAAAAGAAGTAAGTCATATATTTTTATTAATTTATTGTATAGAAATAATGTATATATATTTACCATATTTGGACATTATAAGTTTAAAAGTCTGGCACAATCAGCACAACCAGATAGTTACAAGCATAAAATATATGGCATAACTTATGAACCTGAAGCAAAAGAATACATAATTGTATGGGATGAATTTGCATCTGAAAGAGGTAGTAATCATGGAAAATGTGAACATTGCAAGCGACATAATACTTCTCCAGCTTGGTGTCAAACATGTGATCCTATTAAATTACGTCAAATTTGGACTAGCGGAAACAATGATATTGATGAATATGTCAAAGAACTTCAACTAAAAACTACAAAACATAGTGATGTAATTGAATGGATTCCATTTGAGAAATTATCTAATATGCAAAAAACTCTAGAGAAGTCATCTGGATTAGTGTTTTTAGCAACATGGGAAGATGGCATACGAATAGTTGAAAGCAAAGACAAGACGGTGGTAAAATCACGTGCGTCAAAGTGTGGAGTTGAGCTCAAGACACTGCACACTTCTAATAATTCTAATGTTTTAACAGAGGTATGTATTTATATTTCATAATTATAATTGCTTTTATTATATTACTACAAATATTGTTTATTAACATATAAATTCTTTATTTAATTAGCTTAAAAATCTTATTCAGTCAAATAGTAATAAAATATATGGAATAACTCAAAATTCGAAAACCAATGAATATATGATAATATTTGATTATTATCAAAGAAATCAAGTTCATGGAACTTGTTCATGTTGTAAGAGATACAACACTTCAAAATTTTGGTGTAAGTCATGTGACCCGCAGGAAACTGTTAAAGGATGGACGAGCGAAAATAAAATTATTGATAAATGGATCTCTATATATCAACTTAATGTTGATGCTTACGAAATGGCGATTGAATGGATTCCATTTGAGAAATTGGATAATATACTAAAATTTCAAGAGAAGCAATCCGAATCAATATTCTCAGCAACATGGAAAGATGGTATACGAATAATTGAACGCGATCATGTGAATAATACAAGATCACGCACACGGCCTTGCGGAGTAATACTCAAGGCACTGGATGATTCTCAATTAAAGTCTTTTGAAGTAGGTTATGTGAATTGCCAGTATGTTTATAAATAATTGCTTAATATACTTATCGTTTGATACTAGATGTTTGAAAAATATATGCAAACATATGTCAAGTTCAAAATTTATGGAATAACTCGAAATTCAGCAACAAATAATTATAT